AAATATTCACCAAAATTAGAGATTTGAAGATATCATCATGAAATGAACAAATCTGAGAGAGGTCTACCCAAGGTACATATACACCAAGTATCAAAGCATTCAGGCTTGTAGTTTTCAAGAAGAAGTCGAAAAAGTAAAACATTGACACGGACGCCGCCGGACAATCACTCATATGATAAGCTCCGCTTGACAAAGTCGACAGCGGAGCTAAAAATCACCTTCAATGAAACCAATATAAAATGCACTGATCGTAAGTCACACCCAAAATTTTAATTCTGAGAATAGCAGCACTCACTTTTTTGGGGGATTGTAAATTAATTGATTGGTTGTCACAGTGGAATGAATGTAGGTTACCGGTATGTGATATCTCACCAGATACTGAAAGTAGTTGATGTTACAACTTCTTTACACAAACAATTTGTAGAAAGAACACTGTAAACTATAATTTTTGCTCTTAGAAAGGTTGGCAATTTCAGATTTTTATGCAATTCGTGGAAAAAAATTTACTGCTTCAAAATTTCTCAATTTCCATTGGGTCGCAAAATTCACGGAGATTCATCCTTAATGTATACATTTGATACAAGTGTTTGCAGGTACATGTTTGACTTGAACTTCTGAAAATGTGCTGTCGCTTTTAACCAAGAAATTAGTATTCCTTACATTCATCATAAAGAGTTACACAACCTAAAAGGGTTACCAATTAGTTCCAGACTCGATCATTCTGGTTCATTTGTTGTAACATTATGTGTTCTTTTCCAGATAGATTATTACAAAACATGTCATCAGAGGTGTTAACTGCATATTACAAGAGTGAATATTTTGCAACATAATGTACTCCCCACTGTACAAGTTGCTGTCTCTCAAAGAAAAAGATGTAGTGTGTATGTGAAGAAAAACAGTGTGTATACGAGTATATGAAGAATATAATAATCGTTCCCCAGTAGATTGTCTTACGATGAGGTCTGATTTCTCCTTTTATCTAGCAGAGCAAATACATTGTATATTGAATTTATATTTCAATTTCAGTGTGTTCAAGATTTGTTTATTTATGAATAAGCAACCTTGCTGTAGCGACTATTAATAAATCAATACAATTTTATAATTTAGAAATTTGTGACAGACTACATGTCCCAACACCGAATATCAACGGTGACTCTCTGGACGTGTAAGTTGTACATGCAAGCAAGTGCCAGGGATGATGGTGCATAACCCCATGCAGCGCCAACATGACATGCTGTTTCCGGAAGATAAATTTAAAATCTGCCCAGACCTCAGCCAGTGGTTTCACCGTCTGAATCTGTAATACACTCACAATGGTTACTAAAAACTATGAACTCGTCTACTTGCTACAGTACAGGTAGAGATGTTCAACCACAGGTTGAATTTGGAACCCACCAATCCTCAGACTGGCTCAACAACCCAAGGCAGCAATCAAAACTATGCCACTAGTATTCCCGTAACACCACACGGACAGTGATTCTGGTCGGTGTAGATAGAATACATGAATAAATATTAGTTAAAGCTTTATGATATCATTTTAAAATAACATTATTTGTTTTTTTTATGTTAGAATAATACATCACCAGACTCAACCACAAAGGTACACTATGTTGTTGCATGGCTATATCATTTGTTATGTAGTGTATCAACAACCATTATTATTGGTGCACTGAGACAGATTCTACTGACAATTTGCATCAACCAAGTAGATGGAGATTCATTAGAGAGAGGGAAAAAGACTTGCATCCGATAATGGCAGATTGGAATATAATGTAACTGGGTGAAAAACATTTTAGCAATAATAAACTACTCGTAAATAAAAAGAGTAAATTTGGCAATATCCAAATTTCAACATGAAGCATGTAGGGTTAGGTATCACCAGCTGTGGTCTGGACAGTATCGGTAAATCAAATACATCACACAATATTGTTATTTAGTTGATTATAGCAAATCTAACAGAAAGAAACCTGAACACAATGATTTACAGAATATAAACCTGCTTCAATAGTGAATATAAATCTGTTAGCATTTAGCATGTCTGATTCCCTGTCTAATAGCGATTCCCATACTAAATTTGGACGCATGCGTTTACTTAATAGGATGATTTTTGACGGCTGCTCTCGACAAATCAATACTAAGGTGTAGGCGATCAAAGGTGTATTATCGTCAAATGTGTCATTTTTTGAGTAAAATAATAAATCAAGATAGTAAGTGAAATTCTATTTTTTAGCAAATCATGTGTATAAATTAAAAATCTGAGGTTCAAGTGTTAGACACAATGATAGTGAAATTCTGAAATCAAGATGGCGGCCATGTTGGAATACTCGATTTCTCACCTTCATGTCGGGACATTCTAGTCTACTATATAGAGCCTGGTACAGGCTAAAATGAATCGCCAGCTCACAATAAAGACACGTATTAATCATGTAGAGTTATGCCTTGATCCCGCGACGATAAAACCTATAGTTTAGCGTAGTTCCGGGTGACCGTCCATAGCGTTTACAAAACTCCCCTACGAGCCCACAGTACTTCCAATGCCCATGACGTCACCAAACACGGAAATTCTCGTAATGTCTCGCTGCATACGAGATTTGGGGTCTTTCACCTCTGCGCCAGCGCCCATCCCACAATTTACATTTTTTTAGGGGGGGGGCATCATTATTATGATTACTGGTACTCATCGATCATAACAAGCTTACTTCACATTATTTTGAATCTATGGAGTTAGTGATAGCAAGTAGTAATACTTCAAAACGAAACAAACAGTATAATCGAAACAATAATGCAAAAATAAGTTTGTAGTACTGGAAGTATCCTCTGGGGCGGAGCTACGTCACAAGACGTTCCACGTTACTACGACGCGCACCACTGTACATGCATTTATATGGGCTCTGTGCGCGCTGCTGTGGAACGCCGGTCGAGCCGGTGAAAATTCGAGAAAACAACACAAACTCAACTTTGAAGTAATCCCGAACAACTAAATTTATATATGTTACACACGTAAGGCTAATCTTGTCACACTGTTCAGAGGAGTCTCAACAATCATCCCAAAATACCGTTTTCTGCGAGTTTTGGGTCTTTGTTTTCACCGCCTCCGGTTGCCAGGCGGTGAAAATGCCCGGATGTCCGCCCCCGAGGATACTGGATTTTAATTTCGATATTTTCGCTAATAAGTAAAATCTGCTGAATGAATCCCACGTGAACATGCAAAATAATACTAGAACTCATTGTTTTACTGAAAACAATTTTGAATTTAAAATATGTTCACAATATCAAAATGGCGAAATTAAATGCCAGTGAAAATAAATGGTATTGCAGTTACTGTAAA